CCCGGCCCGCAGGCCCGGGCCTCCTCCCCGGCCGCGCCTCCCGATGGCCGGCTCCGGGGGACCCTATTCAGTGTGACAACCCTGACCCAGATATTTTCCGTTCCGACCCACGGCCCCGGCGCCCGGGCTGGCTGTTTATGTAACTCCTGCACATTATGATCTGCCATGATTCATTGACTATTTTTAGACTTCCCCACCCCGCAGTTTCAAGGGAGGAGGACGGACACATGAAAAGAGAAAAAAGCATGTTTGAGAGCCAAAAAAGCCTTATCCTCTGGTGCAGGCTGTTTACCAGCCATCAAAAATAATTGGTGGATTCTTTTCTGTTGGGTGTTGGGTTTTGTTTTGTTTTGTTTTCCAGTTTGGTTGGCTCCTTTTTCTTATCTGAGTCAATTCTTGCCCAGCGGGATGGGGAAATGGGCTGCAAACGATCCTACTATAATACGCCCATTATAGCAGAGATAGATTACACTGTTTTTTTCTGCTTCTTGACACTGCTTGGGACAATGCAGTGAGAATGTTTATTTCAATTGTTGTTTTACATCTCATGTTGGACAGGGATTTCGTCTAACCTTGATTTCAGGAAAAATATTTATATTGTGCTTACAGTCTATAAACTGTAATTGCTGCTTATAAATCATAATTAATTAGTCTTCATGAAGGCCGCATAGGAAAGAAAAGAACACCAAAGAGGCTTTGGAGATATCCTGTTCCTGATCCCAGGTGCTTAAGGAAAAGCTATGGTGTGCATGTAAACAGCATTTTGCCTGACTTCTTGACTAATTTATCTGATGAGGCTAAGAGCCTCAGTTGGCACTACCCAGTGGGAGAAACAGAAAATATTGTTTTGCTGAGCCCAGGTGCAATCGAAGAGATCCTCCAATGTGGCACAGAATGGAACTTTGCAGATGGGGTCAGAAGGATTAAGGAAATAGCCCTGGGGAGAAAGAGAGGAAGGCCTGAACAAAAAGAGGAGATGAAATAGGAAGGGATAAATTAGGCATAGAGTTTTCATTTCCGTCTCTTGGGGCTGCCAGGATCTGTGGAGCAAGCATTCATCTTGCCACTGTTTAAGAAAAACCAATGTCAGCCGGGCTCGGTGGCTCAGCCTGTAATCCCGCGCCTTTGGGAGGCTGAGGTGAGTGGATTGCCTGAGCCCGCGGGTTCGAGACCCGCCTGGGCAGCGAGACCTCATCTCTACAATAAATCAAAAAATCAGCCGGGCGTGGTAGCACATGCCTGTAATTCCAGCTTG